TCACTTCTGGAGTTATCATTCTTTGAGCTCTTTCTGCCGGCGAATCATCTTCCAGATCTGTAATAATTACACATTTAAAACCATCAATTGTAATTTTAAAATTGTATTACTACCCAAGCGTACAAAACCTAAACTAATGGTATAAAAACTATTTACAAGCGGAGAGGTTGTATATTACAGAATAAGAATTTTGATGAGTGAAAACTCATATAGGTATTTGCACATACAGTAGTACATTGGAGAATCAGCGCCAAATTTTTTCAGTCGATTTTGTACTTAAATTTCAACACATTAAGGTTCAGTTGCGGAAATTTGGCAATTTTGATTAATTTAATGTCCAGTTGTATGTGCAAAATATTCTGTGACCATTATGTGAAATGAAGCCCAGTTTACCTGGATTATTTTATATATGGCGTTTATTGTATGAAGTAGTTATGTCATTGTACGAGTCTTGTGTATGTTATTATATGTCTGGGCGATTGTATTTTAACGATTATTGCAAGTATACAATTGAATTTATCGATTTTTTTATTTCGCAAAACGAGTTTAACTATATTAATGAATATCCATGATTAATCTTTAGTTTGTCACTTACTCCTCGTATAATCCTCGCAAAATGCTAATGCGCCTGGCCGCCATTTTGATGATTAATTGCGTTCAAAAATCAGTACCATTAACAAATAAACACTGACTGATAAGTTCACTTATTGAGTTGGGTTGTGTCGTATCACATATAATTTTTATTATGTTTTTGTTGGTTTCGATCGTTATGGTTAAGTTTTGTCGTTGCTTGTTATGGTTGAATAAAATAGTAACCAGTACTAAGTTTTTCACGATTAGTAAACATAATTTGACTAATAATATAAATCTAATGTCACACATTTCATTTATTACTTTTGGTTATGTTTTAAGAAATGTTCTTACCGTTTGTTATAGCATTATTACAAAGTGAATAATATTTTTTTCATAAATTTACATTTAAATTAACTCTTTCCCGAAAATTCATGCATTAAATTAACAAACTTAAAGCTATTAAATTATCACAGCAATGTTTTGGGGTGTATACCTAAATATTTCAATTAGTAATGAATAATTTATCCTTTGCCTTTCGTGCTATCCATACTTTATATTTTCATATAATATCACGCGTGTGTTATTTAGACAAGGTTCCAAAAGACGCTGGTGTATCAGAAGTTTAGTTATTTTAAATTAATAAAATATCTACGAATGCTAATAACTCAATAAATTCGATTATAAGATATCCAAGAAAAAAATATGACTAACGGACTGAGGAAACACATGAATAACTATTGATGTGCTCAAAATAAATATTACTGGAGGAATGAAAACATACATCACGAGTCTTATGGAATGTTATGTATGTATGACGTTCTTACAAGTCGTAACTCAAGAATGTAAGCGTGCAGTTATTTTAGCTCGTTAATATTATTCCGTAATGCCTGCCTAAACAAAACCATTATAAGAACAAACTCACAAAAAATAAAAAAAAATAAAAAAATCAATAAACTCCTGTTAAGTGTCCCAAAATGTCGTGTATTTTTGGGTATCATCATGTTAGTTAATAAAATACATAAAACATACTAAAGATATAAATTACAATGTGTCCTTCCGATTGCATTTATCTCTGTACCTGTGAATTCCAAACTACAATTTCTACATGCAGTTTTAATACGGGATGCACTGTCTTACCTTTGACCCTAAAATCGAATCGTTAGTGCTGAACCCATAAAAGCGCTCAAAGCAAACGACGACAAAAATATAAACAATCAAACTCTAAAATCAAACATAATCAGACCTAAGCTCCTAAACTTTGCGTTCTGCCTCATCAGATACTCTAACGACGTGTTCTTAGCGCTGGCCGAACGGAACAGCTCCATTTTGAGTTGGAAGTCAGGGTTACGGGGCACCTCTTCGTGAGTCAGAGATTTCGTTAGCCTTTCGTTCTGTTCCATGGCCTCTTGCACTTGGCTGGCTAATACGGGCATAGTACGCAGTCGAGATGCTCTCGTCGGCTTCTCTTCTTTAGGGCGAGGCAACCCGGCCACGGGAGGTTTGTGAGTCAACTTCGAATTGAACATCTTCATCTTCTCGCTCAAAGACATCTTCGCCGGATCGTCCTCGTCTAACTTAGCTGCCACCAGTGAGTTTTGTGCGTATTTACATAACATTGTGCGTTTGTGTTTACGATAGACCCGGGACATACACATAGTAGAGTCGAGGACATGCAAAAAAGAAATAAAAGCCGACGATCAAAAGACATGAAGCCTTATTGTAAAGATTTACCGTACATAATGCAATTTACATGCTTCTAATTTATCTTCGAGTGTATAATCACAAATATTGAAATTAAAATACTGATATATAAAAAAAACATAAAATGCAAATTAAATAAATTCGAATTTCCGACTTCAAAAATAAACTTGAGACTGCCAATTATGACAAAAACAAAATTCTTACCATCTTCATCTCTATCCAACATGTTGGCGGAACTCTTAGACTGAGCGAGAGAGAAGCTTTCTTTTGGTGTTTCTTGGGTTGGCTCTGTGGGAGATGTGAAGGATATTGGTTGTGTCTTGAAGCGATCCGTCACAGATGGCCCATCTTTGTTCTTCGAGCGGCTGTGACGTAGTAACGGCTTCGGTGTGCCTGCAAATGACATAACGAATAAATGAGGATGATATAATCATTGACATACTATTAATATTCTGATGAAACTGCCAATACTAAAAATACACATCAATATCTAGTGAGTACGGTTGTAACTGATGTGATGACTGATAATGTAATTACAATGTTTTTCTCGACACAATGTCTAACACATCTATCCAATTACGTTGCCAAAGAAACCTTTTTAACTACTTAAAATCTAATCTTTTTCGAAACAATAATACTACACAAATCAAAAATTGATTATTTAAATACAAAAGCAAAATAATTATATTTTTAACAACATGCTTGACTTGCTTTTAAATTAAATGTAAATTATTTGGTTTGACAATTTACTTGTTCTTCAAGAATCCCAGCAGCAATCTATTAAAGAAATGAATTTTGATTCTATCTGTTACTGACTAAGTTTTCCCACTAAATATTCAGTATTAAGATCAACTTCGGGGTTTTATATGCATTTTTAATCATCTTCGAAGATGAAATGTAAGATTTTAATGTATATTATTTATTGTCTTCATTAATCGTAGACTCATTTTAAACGTCAAATAAGATCTCTTCTGTGAACGAAAGGAAAGATTTGAAGTATGCACTTTAAAGATATAAACATGAGAATTATACAGTTATAGTTCACTCGCAATCATTTTATGATGGGCAGTCAGAAATCAAGGTTTTTCTTGGCTTGCAATCTTTTAAAATGCCAAGACAAGGTGTTGCCATCTCTGAAATCCCGGGTTCGAAAAATAAAATTAATTTTTCTATATTATCTCGGGTCTGGGTTTAGCTTCGTTGTCTCAGATACTCTATAATACGGGGGCTTTAGCTACTTAAGTTGAAATCTGAGCAATGATATTTATAGATATTTTCTAATATTTATTTATTTATACTATCTATTAAAAAGAAACTAACCTTTGGCTTGCTGCTGCAGCTGCTGCCACATGCTGGCGCGTGCCACTACACTATTACTCTTGACTAGTCCTAACGCGAAGCCTGCACTATTATCAGCGCCATCGTCATCGCTGCCCTGTTCTTTGGGCATCATCAACTCAGTTTCAGTGGACTTGCGCTGACGATCCATGTTTAGAAGACCCCGTTCAATAGAAGATGAAGACCACTCGTTGCTGCTACTATTTGTCACGTGGTTTTCGCGGATGTCTTGACTTTCAATCAAACCGAGCTCCTCTCCTGAAAGAATCAATTGAATACTGTTGATTTTTACCCGACTATGGCGAAGCGAAAAGTAGGGTTATGATTCTGACCGGGTATGCATAAAAGAATGTTCATCTGTTCCCTTATTACTTCGAAACTACTCAACGTAACTGGACAAATGAGGTATCATTAGAAGCGTCCTAGTTGTCTACATGCTATGCGACGTTACATTAAATTGGCGATAGCGCCCTCTAGGGAGCATGCCACCGATAACAAAACAAACAAACGACTTCGTTGTCTTTTGTTTATCGCTATTATAATATAGATATCGCTATAAAATATTTTTCTTCTCGCTATAAAAAAAAGTTTCTAACTTTTTAGAGCGTGATTTAGCTGCATTCGGGTTTTAGTGTTTAAACTTATCTCAACAAAGAACAGAATTCTCACGACTCAGTTGAATAGAGTAATTTAATTAGAATAAACTGTGTTACCATTGAAGGTATTTTTTTACAACTGCAATTCCACAACTTGTTGAACCAAAAATCTTGATTTACATGAAAAATATTGTGATCAATGTCTTTCATGCAAATTAAGATTTTTTGTGTTTTTCCATAAAACAGAACAAAGCTACTTTTTATCCGAAACAGTAGTACTAACAAACTGTAATAAAAAATAAGAAACTAAATGATAGACAGAAATGTGGTTACACAGTTTTCTAATTGCAACACTGACAGCAACATGACTCATCAACAAGTGTAGACGATAATGTGTCTAGCATCTCTCAAAAGTAGTTCGCACAATCGGTTCCAATAACACTCTTTGCAATTTAAAAAAACAAAAAAATGCTGAGACAAATAATTATAATTGACAAAGGTGACAAATAACACATGTATGACATTGACCCAGATAGGTTTAGAGACATATGCAAGGTTACAAGACGTTATATTCAAAACGATCCTAATACGCAAAGCATTCAGTAAAGCTAATTTTATCAGGCAACATAAACAAACCGCTGTTAATGCAATGTGCCTCGTTAAAACTCTTGATTATTTCCACATGACTGTTCATAAAATGTCACGAAGTCTGATCGCGCGTCAAATAACAAGAAGGTTGTTTGTGAATTTCTTGATAAGCTGGCGATAGATACAAATTAAAGAACGTTATTATTAACACTGATGTAAAACCTTTTTAGAATGCGATAACTTACCAGAATGCGGTCCAGAGTCCCTCGAAGATGCCCGATTATATACTCCACTATCATAAGACACATTTAAGCTCCAATTTTCAGCTTCAGCTTGATGCTTCTCGTCTTCATCGAGAGCTCGACTGTCTTCATCCAAGGCTACACGTACTTTGTTCACTTCTTGCTCAATCTCATCCAAGGTAGATTGTTTCCTTTCAACACTGGGAACGACGTTTTCAAAGTCCAGAAATGTTGCCTCGCCGTAGCTATCGTTATCCTTGGCACCAGATGTTGTTTCGGACAGACCGTTAATAACCGGAGATTTGACACTGAAGGAACTTGTTCCGAAGGGTGGCGAATCCAAGCAATTCACGAAATCTACGAACGGATCACTTTCCAGATATCCTGGTGAGGCCCCAATTGGAGGAGCAACACCGGACTCGACGGGTCGACTCGGAAAACTACAGGCCGCGATGCCGAACGCTTGGAAACTCGGTTGGCCCGGATCCAAACTGCGAAATGAGAAAAGAAACGCGTCAATGTAGAACCGAACCATACATAAGAGAGAGATGGAAATCATTTCATTACACCCTCATAAATTTCAATGAATTATGGTATGAGTGATTGGATTGGCGTCGCCAAATTGATGTTTAGGGAAAGTCTAACATCATGGCAATAATCTATGAATAACTATATGGCAAACGGCTGTTTCGAATACCTACTATTAACTTACGATCAATCATGATTATTCGATGTTGTAATACAATATAATAATATTGTATTACAACATCGAATAATCGAATCGAATCGAATTACAAAATTAAGAATAATAACTTTAGTAGGAAATGTCATCAAAGGAAACAATGACAAGTTATCCGACTCAATCTTTTTAATCGATTAGGTGAAAAATCTTGACGAGTGTATCTATAAGAATTTCATTTAAGAATTGAATATTAACAATGTTATCTTAAAAAATCTTATTAAAATTAAAAGTTGTATCTACTTATCTAAAATCAAATTAATTAAAAGTTCATTCAAGAAATTAAAAATAGCTGTTAGATTCACTTGGACTGCTTTTGATGCTCCCAACATCTTACTATCTTAAACTATGTAGAATTAGAGCATCGTCGTAAATACTTATTTTATACAGCTGGTCAAGTTATAAAAACACATGGCGTCAGCTGCGAGCAAATCCACGTCATTAAGGGTAAATACTTAGTATTAAAACGTGTCAATCAGTACAATGGCAAAATTAAACAACAATTAATAATATAAACTATATGCTATCAAAACAAATTTCAATAGTATTCACTTTTCATAGTACAGCTACAAAATATCTCAATCCAAAAAATATGCATCCGATTTTGAACTCTATTTAAAGAAATCAATTTCACAGTTGTATACAGCAAATAATGTGACCATGCCATATTATTAATTATCTCCGAATAATAGATGGCAGAGTTGGAATGCTTTCATATGGCACTAAAAATATTCCTTGACAAAAATATATACGATACCATAAATAACTAAATCAATAAATGTACGCTCCACTGTTTCACTAGACGTTGGCAAGTGCAAAGTAAAGAAGCCCAGAACAACATTTGTAGAAATAGTGCTTGACCTACAAACGTCTCGAGCACACCGAGAAGAATATTGAGTGCACCATTTCACTGAATCACGTTCAACTTAAACTGGTAGTGAATCAATTGAATTAAACTCGTGAGTAAGACTTGCACAATACCAGCATTTAATGATAACAAATAGCATGGAGGTTGAATTAGACGAAACTAACTATAACATCATATCAAACATATATATACTACTCTATAGCAGGTGTATATTATTTCTCTGAAAACGAAATTTTTCATGATTTCGTAACGCTGATAATACTTCAAAGAAATGCATTTTTCAATAATTTATGATGCATCGGAGGTAGGGCATGAAACTTCCTCTGATGCACAGATATTCAAGGATGTGAATTCGGCAATGAGAACGATTCGATCCGAATTTTCGTTCGAAAACAAACAAAATAGGCTCTCTGTGGTAAATAAGTGTCATAATTGTCTCAATAACCTAACAGTTAAACAAAAATGCAAGTATCTTAAAGACTCATAAAGAAGACGCACACGTGTAGATTTGAGCCAAAAATATTAGAGAACAAAAGAAATAATTATTTCTGACTAAGCCTCTAGGCTAGAAGATCAATAAACTCCAATTACCTTAAATATACAAAGATATTCAACATTTAATTTTTGTTTTTTTTTTACATACAACATGGGGCAGGCTAATAAAACTGTATGCGCGCCGAAACAAAACAGGTCCAGAAATAGTTGCTGACCCAGTAACGGCTGGAGCACGTATTTCCGTCATATAGGCCGTCTCGAATGCACCACCGAATTTAATCACATAAGAAATATATGATTAGACAAGGTGGAATTAGGGAGAACAGATTTATGTCGAGAAAGAAAAATAAGACTAGAGCTAATATGATAATCTACATCAAAGCGATTTCTATTTTTAGAGATAATGTAATTGAACAATGTATTACCAAATCACAAAAGATACAAAATCTTAGAATAAAAAAATTGAACCTAACATGTCTCTGTATCAAGAATATACATCTATCAGAATGAACCCAGAAGTAGGTGAAAGAAAGGAATTTTTAAGAATTATTTAAATGAAAACATATGAACCATCGCAACCATGTAGACGTATAATGGCGTGAACTAAATCAAATGTCAGTCAAAATGGGTTCACTCTTGACCTCGATCTAGCCCAAGGACATAAATAAAATCTAAGGTTGGACGAGCATGCCTAGAAGGTACCCATTCACCTATTTACTTCACTAACCCTACTTAGTTATTTACATAACTGAAAATGCAATTTGACAGGATATAATGCTAAACTTAAACCTTAATTGTGCAACAGAATTGCCATCGTTCTCTACCATCGAATATTAGAAAAATAAATTTGACATTTAGAGATTGCATTTAACAATTTATTCTTCAATACTATCTGTTTTCCCGCGATTTCCCGCTTAAATTATAGCCTATTTTACCCGCGTATAATGAAGCTGCGTGTAGGTGAATCATCAATCGATCCAATAGTTTCGAAGTTACATTCGATTATATATTCGATACAACATTGAGACGAAATTTGTTTTTACATATCACACAAATATTTACTATTTCGGGTTTAAGTACCAAGCTATAACTACCACGCGAGTCCATCACGGATTGGTGGGTATTAATCAACACATGTATGTTTTCGAAAACATTAAAGGTACTAAATATAATATGTTCGAAGTACAGTGTTTAGACACTCGCAATCAATGTTATGCAAATTAGGTTATAATTTGAAACAGTTTCAGAATTAGTTAGTAGTATAAAGAGAAATGATTTGATCGTTTGTTTGTTTTGAATAGGTACGAAACTAATACACCGATATTAAAGATTAACTCATTTACGAGATAATACATTGTATGTATATGACATTAAAAGAAACATTAAAAGCAAAAAAACTAGTATTTTTTCTCAAAAATATAAAAAATAAAAACAATTCAAAAAAATCGTAATACCCAAATCTGTCTGCTTTGATTGAAAAAGGTTTCAATTCAATTTTGAAACCGATGCCCCGTAAACGAATTTGCACATTTTGTATAAAGAAGCGTGGAGAAAAACAAACACACCAATAGTAGATCAAAAAGCTATCCGATATTCATTTTCATGCGTGACCAGCTTAGCCAAATGATTCAAACTGTTATCTGAACCAGTGGTGATGTCAGACGGCTGAAACACGAAATCAACATAAACTCTTCTAAAATTTGAAAGTTAAATTTAAAGGACGGTAATGCAGATTTGAGATATTAAATTTAAATAAGTGATAAATAACACTTATCTCAAAGGAGACTTTTTCAAGAAACTACTATTTAAATAGGCAGGAGGTTTACTGTAGATTATTAATGAAATGATATATTCTGAGAGTAAATAAGAGCATGAGTAACGCACTCATTTTACATTGCGTACTACATACATGCTGTAATTACAAAGAATTTGAAGTCCAGAAATGTTCTTTAAGGAAGTTGGAGTCATAACAACGAAACAAACGCAGTGTCCAGAACAAAACATTTGGTAGCTACCCACGCTACACGCCCGCCCATCAAAATAGTGGCGGTGAGCCAAGATTCGGTATCCACGACCGAGTTCAGTGCAGAGCACAATCACCTTTACATAAGGAAAGCCATATTTTTAAGAACAACGCCCGGCTCGCAATGATGGAGTGTCCGGAACAAACAATAATATATTTGTGACGTACGTTGGCTTTCAATTTCACTGTATAAGATATATAGAATAATGATTTTATTCCATAGCGGTGGATACGACTTTACAATACATAATTTAATTTAATAAAATTACATTTACATATTTTACCTGCAAACTACATACTAAAAAAATGGTGATTAACTGATAAATGATAGAACTATAAGTTACCTGGAAGCTGCAGATCTCATTTCATCTATAGTGATCGGCTGTGTCTTGAAACGTTCCTTATCACGAGGTTTACATCGTGATGTTGAAGGCTGATTTTTTGACAGGCTGTCTCCTGTTAAAGCCTGTTCCATGCTTTTTATTCGTGCGGCAATAGATGGAAATTCTTTTGGTTTACTATCATCACCAATAGCTTCACCGCGGTTATTTAGTTCCCAGGGCTCACAATGTCCATTTACACAATTTTCTTCCACTTTTAATCTCCTATTGTTAAGTATACAAAGTAACTCGTCATTGACATCACAAACTAAGCTTTTCGAACGAGGATTGGTTTTCGGTCGTAGATTCCTTCGGCGCAGAACAGCACACGGATAACTTTCTTCCGTGTCCGGCGTGATATTCACAATTCGCCGCGGACCAGCCACCGATAAGTCGTTCGCATCGCAACTGGTATTCGTCACACTAATGTTCGCATCGCTGTCTGCGCAAAATGAGAGTCGTGGGCGCGGGGATTGGCTACGTTCCCTACTGAGACTTGACCCTCTCTGCTTTAAAATAGGCTTAACAGCAGCTTCACATTCTGAACCAGAATGGTCCGATGTCCGCGATCTGAGAAGTGAAGGCCTTCGTGAACTTCTGTCGTCTTCGCTCAAATCGAAACTAGAAGCATGCCCTTCATCACCGGATAATTTTTTTGACGATTTTAGAATCGGTTTTTTTGGTAAATCGAAGTCGTGGTCATCGTGATCTGTAGATTTTTTCTTCAGTATAGGTTTTGGTGTATCTGACGGCATTATGTCAAGACAAGGTCGTTCTTCCGAGAAACTCTTTTTCTTCAATATTGGTCTCACAATGTCCTTATCATCATCTACAATTTCGGCACCGCCTGCGGCTGCTAAAAGTACAGCTTGAGCAATTGAAACATGTGATGAAGTTGTGCTACTACTAGAGCTGGAGTTTGATTTACGTTTGAGAATACTATGAGGTTCTGGTGAACCATTAGATATGTCTTCATTTGTGTAATCTTCTTCTCTACTCATTTTTCTCTTAAGTATGCCTTGAATTTGTCCATCTGGTGATCTATTTCGAATGACATCTTCCAGAGATGATCTTCTATTTTTCAAGATAGGTTTATTTGAGTCAATAGATCCATCATCTGCAAAGGAAACTTCTGGACTACAGGATCTTCTTCTGGCAACTTGTGATTCATCTAGACTACGGCGTTTTTTCAATATCCCTTGGCGTTGTCTATCAGAACGACAACTTCGTGGTTCAATAACACTAGGAGAAAACGTTACTGGTGGAGAGGCAATAGCATGATTAGAAGCATTAGATAAAACGTTATCTTCGTGCACTGACTTTCGTTTTAAAATAGACACAGGCGTATGACAAGACATCGACGATGCATCAAGTCGACGGTTTTGACTAGAGATATCGTTGAGATCAGAAAACATTGCACTTTGTTTTTCAAAGTCGATAAGTCTCTGTGCTGCCGTATCTATATCTCTCAGTCGTTCAGTGACTCCTCTATTTGTAACAGGTTTATCCTGTTTTGAACCATAATTGATATTATGATTACTCTCTTTCTGTTCTGAAGCCGATCTGTATAAAGAATCTAAAGGTTGTTCAGGAGAGTCTAAAGTTAACTTATTAATATTTAAGTTATTCGACAATTTGTTAACCCTATCTAATGTCTGTTTAGTTAATGCAGCCAAACTATCCATTTCCTGTGAAAGTCTGGAATTACTAGTATGTGGTCGAACGGTTTCAGGGAGTGTGGATAACATTTTGGTCGCCTTATTATCCTCTAAATCACTAGATATAGCATTGGATTTACTATTCAATTCCGTATTATATTTCAGTACATTTTTAGAACTGTGGCCGTTCGAATTTTTAGATGAATTATTTTCTAAACTAGTCAGTCTTTTCTTTGTATTATGATATTTTTCGCTCACACTTTCACTCTCCTTATGACTTTTATTTTTTTTATCGTCACGGTTATTTTCAGAATCTTTCTTCAGTTGCTCAGGCGGTTTTATGGGACAATTTGATCTAGAAGTTTCTAATTTTGATTTAGAAACTGTATCTTTTGCCGATTCTTGCTTTAAAGGTGATAAAGAGGTGCGTTTTTTATCAGCAGATTTTTTAGATAAAGGTATACAACTGGGTTTTGTGCCTGTCTCCGAACTGCGTCGCCTCTCATTGGGCTTGCTTAGACTAACCACATTTGACTTTTGAGATTTCGTAGGAGACGAATTATTACCGAGTGATTGATTGAAAGCATATTTAGGAGATACTCTGGAAGACGCCAATGAGTTTTCAGTCTTTGAATGTGGTGATTCAAACGGACGACGGCTTCTTGTTTTCGCGACAGTTCCTGAAACAAAATGAAAAATAAGTTCATTATTTTAACTGCTTACTGTTTCATTGAAATATTTAAATTACAGGAAGTGGAATATGTTGACCTGCCGCCATTTCATATGACGCAACGTATTGTTATGTAGGTTCAGCGACTGCGCAGATGTCGATACATGCTAAATATTGCGTGTTATTGCAACCTGGTCCATATGAAAATTTAAAAATCGTGTAAAAGTGGAGTGGAAATATAATGGATATGTAAAATCAAGAATTAATTATGTAAGGATAATCTTAAAGTAGAATATAAACACAAAAGTTCTAAGTTAAAGTATTCAATTGATTATCAACTATACGTAAGTTATATTCATGTTGTTAATGTGACGTGCCGCATGACCGGCAATCACGTGCAAAATACTGAAGGCTGTGGTCTGTGTGGTTTTATATTGCGGTCATTATTAAACTATAACTCGACAACCTGTTTATATGCTTTTCGTAAGTTTTTTTTTTATACAAAGAATCCCTAAATACATAATTTATCCCTAGTTATTAGGTTTTATTAAGAAATAACCATGTACATATAACGAAGATACTTAAACCGGTTCACATCTCCTGTAAGAGGGTAGATAGTACCATCTAAGCTTATCTTAACACTTCATTAGTCCGACCACCGGACGCTTTGTACAATCTCTCTATATATTTTATACACACAACTTATTAATTAATGTACTTCTACAAAATCTCCCGGTTTTAGTTGTATACCAACAACAATTTTAATAATAGTAAGACTTTCAAGTTTCATTTATTCGTCGACAAAAGATGTGCTGATTAAGCACTTTTTGATGTTAAATGAAATAGAATGATACTTCAAATTTGGAATACATGAAACTCTTTATTTATGAATCATAAGGAGCTATTATTGACGTTTCCGTCAATGTTTAATGTCTGCAAACGGTAAATCTTCCTATAACATAAATAATAAACTATCGACGGTTACAAATTACCTACTACAGTTTTGATCTGCCAAGCAACAAAAGTCTGTGGTATGCGTGGGTCTATTGGTAAACAAGATGCGAGCGTTATTACGTTTACCCACCCAATATATGTAGTTACACCATGGAAACAAATTAACCGAACCCTCGAGGGAAAAAACAAAAAAAAACGCTGAACGTAATTTTCTGTCAAACTTGCAGCGCACTGATATGGGTAATATAAATAAACACAATTTGTTTCACCTTCAGTTTTATATAATACGGAGTTTTAGTAAAATTACTCTTTCAATTTCCTTAGAGTTATTTGATGATAGGAAAGGGTTTTGTTTACGTAAAAGCGGCAGCAGGAGATTTATATTTCACTTCTCTCGTTTCTATTAACCGAACTTATGCTTTTTCTACAAATTATTTAATCACAAAACATTCGTTATTAAACTTTTATGGAAAACGTTCAGACAACCATTGAAAGTACTCAATTGAAAAAAAAAAACTCTTTTTTAATTTTCCTCGGGTAATAGACCTCCGTGGCCGAGTGGCTCGCACGCCATTTTCAAGATGTCCCCATCCGGGTTGAATTGCCAGTCGGGCCAATGTATAAAATTAACTTTTCTATATTTTATATAGTAAGCAACAAAAAAAATTTTGTTAGTATTTAGTAATGAAACTGCCAGGTCTATTAGTTAAATAAGTTTTGATTGTATTTTAATTGTAAACGACTGTTTGTTTTCCTAAATAAATAAAAATATATTCTGGGTGCTATATTACCTTCGTTGTTTCAGATTTATTTACTTTATTTATTAACTTACTAGGGATCTGAGCAACTTATGTGATATCGTCTAACATTCATTTATATTGTCTATAAAACTTATAGCATTCGCTATGAAAATATTTGTTAAAAACGTACAAATGACAAGCGAAACTAATGTATTAAAAGCATAATCGTTTGGTGCACTTATTTTAATTTCAAATTGTTCAGTGGCGATGAGGTCACGGCAACGCAACATTTCGCCCTAGTTCGCCGTTCGCCACCGCATCTGATGAGGTCACATCGCCATAATTTCCAAGCAATCCATTAGTATCGCGCCTGACAATTATAACGGTTTAACTTACCCTAGTTAACAGTTCGTCAACGTTATTATTTACTGTTCCGCGGGCTATAGTAAAGGACATAGGAAACAGAATACGATTTCTATATTTCTGTATACACTTCTTGTTTTGTTTTTTTTTTTTTTGTCTAAACAAAAATGTTCTTGACACACTTAACTACAAGTACAAGAGAAACTATTTCTAATGTCAATGGGAAATTGCATACTATTACTTATTCACATTTACGGGTCTAAAGGTAACTGGATATACTGCTTATTCTGTTACCGTTCTCAAAATTAACTGAACCAAAAAACTTGACTTGTTTAGTGTCATTCCGTCGTCAAATGTTATACACAGCAATAGGCTAGTTGACAACTTTTTTATTATTTTATAAATTAATAGTCCATTTGTATTTGAGTAATAATGTAAAGGTATAACTTGCATGTGTGTTGGACTTAAAATCTATGAACTTGCAAGTGTATGTCCCTATAATAATAAATAAGTGACGCCACATGGTGCTACGGTAGCGAAAAAAGTATGGGCGTCTGGGCAATCTTTGTTATTTGTGCGTTTATGTTTATAGTTGTTATAATGAAAGTTGTAACATTGTATGTAACAAATTTAATGCTATATGTATTTTAGTAAATTTTGCGAAATTGTATTATATTGCCCAATAGGCTATTTGACTACTTTTTCAATAAATAGATAGTCTATTAAAATCTGAGATTTAATATTTTAATACCATGTTTGCGATTAATAGTTTCAGAGATACGATTCAATGTTTGTGGAACCGCTGCCGGGCGGCCAAACTACAAATTCAAGCCACGAAGTAACGTCATGTCTTGTTACAATAGCGAAAAACGTATGGGCGTCTGGACACTCTTTGTAATATCTTTGTTATTTGTGCGTTTTTATTTATAATTGTTTTACAAACATATTTTTTTACGTTTTCAAATTTTGTTACGTACTTAAATGTTAAGAGTTATAATTAAAACCTGTATTTTCACTCGTAGAACACATCCCTATTTCGATTATATTACTGAGCTCAAGCAGTAAGATGCAGTGGTTTTGTTTCATAACAAGCTTCGTTGTAACAGCCGTTACCGTGTTTTGTTTTAACACAGAGACAAAAGGAGTGATTCCAGTAGTAATCAAACAGGCATGATCGACAGAAACATCCACACGACTGTATATACATTATCGATCATAGTACAATAGGTATACGATCTACAACAAGTTTCGCAAACTAAAGTTACAATATAACCGTCGTAATAATTAAACTTAATTATAAACTTTTCTGTATCGACTTAATTAATACTTTTTTCATATTTTTGCGTTACGGCTTAATTAAGAAGGTATTTGATTAGCATAAAGTTTATGAATCGTTAATTAGAATCAAGCTTAACTTTTAATTCGACGAAAAAAATATCTGCGTCTGAAATTCTGTTAGATAAAAATTTATAGGCTATTTATTATAATTATACCCTAAATCTTTTGTCGTATACGGGCGGTCATACCACATGAGTGAAGCTATACCTAAGGGTTCGTCTTTTTCCATGATGTTACAAACCTTCGAAATATTATAATCCTGTGACATAACACTACAGAGCTTAGTTTAGAAATAGCAGCAGATAACTGCAAATTAATATAATAATAAACTCCCCCTTTTGTATTTAACAGAGTAATATGAACATAGCTAATTTTTATCGCAGCACTAATAACATCAGCCGATGACACACACATTATTCATAACAAAATGGCGGTACATACAGTTGAAAACAGAATTTGTGGAATTAAAGTAATCAAGCAAACAGCAATAAATAAAAGTGCTGTTTTATCATTAACATATTACATTAGCAAGAGCTTATCAAGTGCTTTTCTCTGTTTTTCTAACATTGAAATTGAAAAAAAAAAGTCTTATAGAAATCCCTTTAATTTAGAAGATAGTTTAGAAATGAGAATAAAATTTCTTGTGTTTAAGTTTAGTGAATTTCGAGTTGTCGAGAAACTAAACGTGGCTTTTTTAAGTATAGGCTGTTTCTCAATTTTTTTTTTCTATCAGAAAAATCAAGTCAGTGTAGTTCAGAAAATTTCTAAACTTTATTGACACGCAGCTGCGAGTGGTAGTACCGGTATGATCGTTGATTGCTTTGCTGAAAATGTTTAAATTATTTATGAGAAATTTTACTACAAAGTAATTCATCAAACGTTAAACATATATCTAAAAAATGAGAAGAGTTTTTAATGCGTTCTTTAGAAAAATATAAATAAATAGGATATATATATATTATTCACTTTATCCCCTACAGGTAGACCAAAATAAAACATCCATAATAAATAACGATAATAGGTAATAGCGAGCATTCCATTCTTCGATAAACAATACATTCCAGTGGACCTTCAATAAAACCTTGACCTCAGTAAACATGTGGACGTTTATAATAATAATAACGATTTCCTGGAATGTGACATAATGGCTATAATATAAAGGGATAGTTGCCGGGGAAAATACCATTATTTCAAGAGATTTCTTGACATTGAAAAGACGCGATTTTTTATTAAGTAATAAACAATCTAGAAATTATTAGGTAGCAATCCCACATTTAACAATAATTCTAATGTTAATGGCCATTAAAGTTTTAAACTAAATATAACTAGGAATGAAATGAAATGATACCAAGGTGCGTGGTATCGTATCATCCCTAAATATAACTAACCATGTATGTAGCAGTGCGCTATATCGCGCAATAGTCCAAAATAATGGAATAAATATATACCTACAGATTACCTATATAAAATAGATATTTTGTTATAACAAATGTGACCATATTGTCAAATCCCTCTTACTGTTTGTACCCGGCAATGCAAAAGTAGGCAGTGTATTATAATGGACATGATCTCTCGATTATTGCTCGATTTTGATGAATAACAGACGAATGGAATA